GCCAGCCTCCCCCCGCCCACCCCGCCCCTCCGCCCCGGACAGGACGGAGCTCGACCACCACCCGCACTCACAGCGTCTCCAGGCTGTGCAGGCCCTCGAAGCTGTGGGGCTCCAGGCGCTGGATTCGGTTGTTATGAAGATGCCTGTGTGGGAAGGAAAGACGGGTCAGCCGGGTGCCGGCAGCTCCGAGCCCGGGGGAGGGGGGAAGGGGCAGACGGCGGCTTGAGGAGGAGGCTGAAGTGTGGACAGAATGACCCCACTGGTCCAGCCCTTGACTCCAGGGACAAAGTGACTGGCGAAGCCCGACCTCGGAAGGCACAGTCTCCAAGGCTGCCCTGCTTAACTGGAGAGGAGCGTCTGGCTGCGGCCGATATGGGCTCCCACTACTTTCTCAGAGAGGCCTGACTGGCAGGGGCCGAGGGGGCTCTGGTCTGAGGCTCCCCAGGACCCAGCCCGCATGGCGCAGTGGCCTGGCTCACCGATGGGAACCAACAACCAACCGCTGCAGACAACATATAATTAAGGGCTAAGAGTTCTGTTGCAGCTGGGAGGCTGCAGACGAGCTCAGCGGCGGGGGGACTGGTGAGCCCAGAGCAGTCAGGGAGGGCTTCATGGAGGTGGTGACCCAGAGCAGTCAGGGAGGACTTTACAGAGTGTCTATTATTTTTTAAAAAACATATTTTTACTGATTTCAGAGAGGAAGGGAGAGGGAGAGGGAGCTAGAAACATCAATGATAAGAGAGAATCGTGGATTGGCTGCCACCTGCACACCCCACACTGGGGTTCAAGACTGCAACCCTGGGCATGTGCCCTGCCTGGGACTTGAACCCTGACCTCCTGGTTCATAGGTCGACCACTGAGCCACACTGGCCGGGCCCTGGTGTCTATGATATCTGCTGGGACTCTTGTTCTCTTCGCTGCACAGTCTTTGCCACCTGCCCAGCCCTGCAGGACCCCCTCAGGCGCTGCTGCTGGTCACAGGCCCTCACTCCCTGGCCCCCAGGCCTGCTCCCTGGGGATGCGGCCGGAGTAGCCCTGAAGCTGGACTCCAACGCCTGCTCTGCTCGCTTTCTGCAAGTCCCCCTGCCTCCTGGGACAGACACCTGGCCGCCTGGCACACGGGCGTGGCCCCTGAGGATGCCCGTCCAGATCCTGCAGCTCCCAGGTCAGAGAACGTGAGATTCCACCACATTCCCAAGAGCAGGGTCGGTGATGCACGTGTGCCCCAGCCATGGGTGTGGCACCCCAAGCAATTCCACGGGACCTCTGAGCCCTCAGTAATTACCCGATGAACTTAACACTCACTCGCAGCAATTAGCTGGGAGCTAATTTGCCTCCCCGCTCCCCTCGGGGAAGGAAGACAGAGGTAACCCCAGGCCCCAGGTCCTGCCAGGGGTGCGGCCTTCCAGGTAATCACCCTGCAGGGGGCGGGGGGGTGTTCTGGCTGATCACGCCATGGCTTCTCTCTGCTCCTCCAGGCCTGGGAGACAGGAACGCATCCCACCCAGTGCCAGGGCCTGAGACCGCACCCCTGCCTGTCAGAGGCGGTGACCGTTATGGACGCCCTCGCCCCAGCTGGTGTGGCTCAGTGGATAGAGCGTCTGCCTACAGACTGAAGGGTCCCAGGTTCGATTCCAGTCCAGGGCCCGTAGCTCATTTGCAGGCTGAATCCCCGGCCCCAGCCGGGGCACACAGGACGCAA